GTCGGCCGTTGCCATTGTGTAATGCCATTGGAGTTGTAGAAATATGTCGAGCCATTCTCAGCTGTTGCTTGGAACCAACCCTGGGGAAGGGCGTTGAACGGTCTTGGTCGCATGACGGGTCGCGCAGGAGCAAAGAAGCCGGCCGGACCGCGAGGCGCATTTATCACGCCGCGAGGACCGGACGGGACGTTTGCTGCAGACGGGCCTTTGGGCGCAATCGTAGACGGCGACTTTGACCTAGACCTAGATCGCTCACGGCCTCTCTCGCGTCGTTCGAAATGATTCTCGGTTCGAGCTGGCGTGCCAGCGTTTGGATCTCTCTTCAAGCGCGGTATCCGGTAGCCAATCTCCAGCTTACTCCATGCGGTCAATAGCTTCTTCGCAGCCTCTTCTACTCGTTCCTCTCCGCAGTCCTTCACCTTGCTTACCGCGTCTTCGATTCCAGAGTCTTGGATCTTGTTGCGGGTAATGCGCGGCAGCCTGTGTAGAATATCCAGTATTTGCAGAACAACGTTATGATCTTCCTTCCATTTGTTCAAGGTTGTCTTCAAGAACTCGTAACCGTGGAATTGGACAATGCGATGGCCGATTCTCTCGTTGTCGGTTTGCATGCGGCTGAGAAGTTTGACAGCAATCCATTTCTCTTCGCAGCTGCGCAGAGCCGTCAGAACCTTGTTGACTGCGTCCTCTTCAAGCTCGCGTGGCTGCAAGTCGCTGATGTATTCCTCGTCATCCTCGCTGGCCTTCTTCTTGCGGGGCTTCTTGGCGACTGCTGTACCCCAACCAACACCATCATCGATTCCGAGCGCCGCAATCGTATCATTATTGAGGTTTGTCGCGTTGTCGGACTGAGTCTTTCCGCCGATAAAACCACTGCAGTTTGGCTCTCCACAGTAGCAGGGCTGCGGGTCCGCGCCGTAGCGGTCGACGTTGTAGTTGAAGACGAGTTCTTCGCCTGCCTTGACATTGCGCTCAACAAATATGCCCATTCGCAGCTTGTCCCCAACAACCCATTTGTCAACGAAACAGTTCGGGTTGCACGAGTGATTGCAAAAACGACCAAGGTTACCCTTCTTCGTCGCATCTACAAACTCGCCCTTGGTCAGAGACATGAAGTAGAAGTGCTTGATTCCCTCCTCATCGTATTGGCCCATGCGGCGACGGAAGGTGCGCTCGTCGATGACCTCGCCGATGTACTCAAAGACGAAATCACCGGGAGCCATGTTCTTGTTGGCACGAAGGCCGAAACCCTTCTTCTCCGTCTTTATAACCGTGACGTCTGCGTATTGTTTCCGTTGAAAGCGCTGGTTCTGGCACTTGCGACCGCAACTGCAGTCGCCCAAGCATTCCATCTTTGTCGCGCGGTTGATGCAGTCGGAGTCTTCGCCACAGGCATGGTTGGTCTTGGTTGTGGAGTCGTATTCTTCCTGGCAGTCGCATTCGAGCGCAGGGTCGGTCGTGCCGATGGTCTTGTTCGCGTAGGTGCATTCTGGGAGGACGACGAAGGTTTCTTTGGCGGCATCGGTCGAGTCGGGGAGGTCGATGTATAACGGAGGTGGGCGAGTGACGACTTTTTGGGAGGCGGAGCGCGAGAGCTTGGGAGCTTTGCCGGGTTCCATCTTCAGCGTAATATCTCCCCCCACGATCTCTTCATGAGCGCTGCCGGGCGATGGAGTATTGAGCTCGTGTTTTGCCATGGGCGACTGAGACTTGGATCGCGTCTTGAGCCTGGGAGGTATGGCGAGAGGCGTGGACGCGCGGTCGAGCAAGTCTCCCTCTACCTTCACCTGCGTGGTGCTCCTGCCCTCACCTGCTCCTCCCGAGGTCGCGCCTTCCAGCTTCATCTCGCGTAGCTCCGGCTCGAGTTGAGCTGTGTTCTGGTCCGACTCGCTGTCCGACATATCGTTGAGAGGCGTGGGGGTGGTGGAAGGTGCTGAGGCAGAGGGTGGAGGATCGCGAGAATCTCAATGAGAGGGACGCTAACGGCCGATGTCCAATATCACACACGAAGAGCCACGAGCCTATTCACCTCATAGTCCAGGCGACAAACATACACCGAACACTCCAGATGCAGCTCCTAACACGCTTGGATGCAGGGCGACTGCTGGAGAAGAGCGTCGGTCGTCTTGGACACTGACGGGAGCAAAGATTTCGCCTCCCCTAGACACACGGCGGCACACGACCCGGATCTGCTATGCGCCCAGACTGAGCTCGATGCGCCGAGCAATAGGGGCTTTATGGAGGTATGTGTTTCCCTGACGCTGTCGCTGTCGCCATGAAGGTACGCGGGATGGAGCCGTCGGCGCAGCCAGGCGTTTCGTGGGTCCGGGCTCTTGCCTCGACGACGGCACGGTAGGCAATTCTTTCTAGTCCGCCGTTGTCGCGTAGTAAGCCTGAGCACGCGAATTCGGTCAGTGGACGATGTGTTCGAGTGGTGCTTCGCGCGGCGCGATGCGCTGAATTCTGGTTGATACTTTGGAGATGCGGACGAAAACTAGCGTTAGCCAATTGGTCCAGCCTCGGCCTCCCAGAGTCCGTGATGCAGGGCCCCTCCGACCATGTTTCCATCGGCGCGCGCACATGTTTCTATCAAGTCGATGCCACTGGAAAAATACGATGATGAGATCATGACCATTGGCTGCTTTGCTCGGGCCCGCGGAGACGCTGGGACATCGGACTACAGAGCTATTTCGCGGGATATGAAGTCTTGGCGATTCGTAGAATCACTAAGGTGTTGTCAGAAGGTCGGAATCAGTCAGGCACACAGGACAAAGGATCATGACTTCGTTTGATGTTCCAAGGGAGTGCTCACTTACACAAACTCATCTGGTGCGAAGAATCCATGTCACGCGTCCTTGCTATGTACGGACTGGGAAAGCCCAACGTGTTGCACGGATCTTTACTACATGAGGAAACTAATATATACGCAAATGCGACTACACAATAGACGTAAGTAAGCACCCTTGATTCGAAGTAGTATCACGGCCGCAGCTAATAGGCAATGAGCAGTCGCCGATGTATCAGGATACATTCGATTTCGGAGTGACATACGCGAGTCACCGAGATACACGGTGTTCACGGGCCGAGAAAAGCTCCAGGGTGATGCGACGTGTTGAGCAGACCTCGGGAGCTCCTGAAAACAACGTATGTCTACCACGACTCAGGTCAGTCACTGCAAGCTTTGGTGGTTCATGCCGGATGTTCAGTCATCGGAATATATCGTGTGGCTGGTCGTGGAATCAGCATGTTTCGTTCCTTTTTTAGAGGTCCAGGGTTGGGACAGAGCTAGCGCGAACCCAATTTCTTGAAAAGAATGGCTTTGTTCGCGACGTGACTGAAGATGATCCCGCGCTGGGAGAGCGATGACGATTATTGTATGTACAGATTCCGCAGAGATATTTACTGACGTCTGGATGCGTCGGAGTTCTACCTTGGCTACTGACTCAAGGTCGCTGGCCGTCGGAGAGTCTCGACTTCCGCATCGATATGCATGCTTGCGCTGGGGTTGTCCAAATTGCGCGGACAATCTTTCCGAAAGACTAACCTTGCTAGCAGGGTGAGCTAGGATCGCGAATGGTGCATCGCGATGTCGCTGGCGACGGCATCCAAGTGGCTTACTTAAGCGAACGAAGCAGCGCGGCTCCACAAGTATACTAGCGCAAACTTTCACCGAACGGCTACAACTCCTACACAGCAGCACCCATGACGCCGGCACGACAGCTGACCTGGCCACACCGGCTAACCTCCGCCTCTACACGGCCCAGAGTGTCACTCGCTGCGAATTAGCGGCACATCTGCGCCATGAGAGCAGACACTTGCATCTAGCGGACGCTCGTGAATGCCATTGGGGGCTATGCCGAGTCGCGGCCCGCTCCCGATCGTCGACTGTCTCGACTGGCTCCGCGTAGCATAGGGTGAGGAAGACCACCAGGCGAGTGCTACGTGTCTATGCATGCGCGCCCTGTGGTCGCTCGCCAGGTATAAGAAAGAAGGAAAGAGTCAAGCTACGCCGCTGCGAAGTTTGTGCCTCTGGATACACATCTTTCACGCAGCCGTCCTGGAACAGACTACACATCGCACCGTTGACAGGGATGACGAGGCCGTCTTCCGCTGCCCCATCTGGCGCGACGCGCTCATGACGATCCGCGCTGAACCGTTCGTGCCAGATTGCGTGCAGGACACCAGCGCTGCTGCGCGTCGCGACAGTTCAGCCTCCTTGCGAGCACGCTTGCGGTCATCTGAAGCAACACGGTACTGTCAAACCCCCGAGACAAAAGGCGGCAGCGTACATGGAGAAAAAGGAAGGCAGGGGACTGGTTTGCAAGGGAAGGGCCGTTGGTCTCAGGCTAAACCATCCAGGGCTGGTGAGACACGGCTTGGCCCTGCCCTCTAGGCGATTGGCTCATCGGTTTGCGCAATCGTTTTCGAACATCCACAAAGGCTTTCGAGATGGGGTAAAGCGCCGCCAGATCTAGGTTACATACGTAGTCCTCGTTATCGATTTGCGACAAGTACTGATTTAGACAGATACCGTGCGTGAAGTCTTGGAAGCTGCGTCCTGGGTGTGGGGACTAGTCGCGTCCCATTCGTCTTTGAAGAGAAGCCGCTAATGTATAACATACCGGGTGGCTCTCCCCAGTAATCTCTCACGGGAAGCTGTCTCTCCTAATTATTTTGACCCAGCCTCATGTGGTCCCTTTTGACACACACTTCTTGCCTGCTGGCATGAAATCGACAACCAGAGCCCGCCGCAGGTTTCTTTGATTTTAGTGCTCTTCTTCTACCGCTCGTTACTCTTTCGTTTCAGCACTCTCGTTTGTTCTGTTGGTAGACGCAGCTATACAACCGCGCGCGAGGGCGCGTCGCTCTTCGCGCCGGTCCACTTACTTTACGGCCTTGTGATCGATGCTCGATTAGTCTGGTTGCATACAGCAAGCTTTTGCCGTAGCTACTTCTTGGTCTCTGCCCTCGCGTATTTTGAGCGTATCGAGGATCACGACATGGAGCCCTCGAGCTCGCGCGAGCCACCATGGGCAGAGCATGAAAAGGTACGTACCGCTCCCACCCATTGTAACACATCTATTCTCCATGAATAAGTCACTAATACAACCACATCAGGTATATTTACTTGCTGAAGTACTAAAAGCGGCCCCCATACCATCTCACGTTCTCTTTCAATTTATACGCGACGCCAACATCCAGCCACGATGGAACGACATGGCCTTACCTCCTGGTATGTTTGGTCCTCTGCGCTTTCGCAAATACGTTCATTCTTATGATATTATACGTACTCTCCATGCAAGAAGAATATACTAACGCGACGCAGGCCGATCGGTTCGCTCCAGCCAGATGGCATTTGACAGTCTCGCAACCAATTTCGTCGCGCCTGGACAAGATTACCGACGCCCTCAGCTACCTGCCCCAATGGTATATCCTGCGCCCGACCTCTCGAGAAAACGACCCCATCAGCAAGAAGCCTCCACGCCCATTGGCCGCCTACTACAACCTCGACCCCCTCATTCCTACCCTGGAGATTTTATGCCTGCCGGCCCTGCCTACACATCTACTATAAATCCATCTGGCGAACCAGCGAACAAAAAGAAACGCGGAAGACCTACGAAAGCGGAGGCGCAACAAAGAGCGCAAGAGGCTGCTGCGAGGGGCGAGGTGTACCCACCACCTAGGAGGGGGAGACAATCCATCACGGCACCACCTGAACCATCACCACTCGGACCAGATGCTCGGCCGCACGATCGAACACCTCCGCCATCAGCGCCTTCCCAATTGGCTCCCGCGATGACACCACAGCAACAAATTGGGGTAGAACACGGGTCAGAGTCCTCATCAGGAAAAAGAAGACGAACAAGGCCAACACCATTGGAATTAGAGAAGCATCGCGCAACCAGCGAAATGGAATCTCCCCTCGCATATGGGTCTGGCGACCCGAATCGCAGCCAAGCATATTCAACATACACGCCCATCTCTGCGCCCTTGCCAACTTCATCAGAATCCAGGGACAGAGATGTGCGCATGGAAGGGGTCGAAGAGACTCAACCACGAACCACGACACCTCACTCGTTTAAAGATACGGTCGGCATATGACAGCGTTTCTTACGTCCAAAAGCAACATACGGCGGTAATCCTGTTTTGAAAGCGTTCCGTCAACGACTTTACTTACGCACTCACGATGACCTATGGCCATGACACATGGAGGTACGCTCTGCCGTTTACGCTTGCTACCACCATTGATGATCACTCGTCAAGCGCGCGCATCATTGATCATGATCATGTTGTTATTGCAGCTCTGGGGCATTTGTCCCAGACACACCATCATTTCTTGTCAAGCTCGATTTCTTTGCCACACTTTATTCATTCCTTTCTTCATTGACTGCATGTCGACACTACGAAAGTTGAGATATGACGAACCTTTACCTAATGTCTTAGTATCGCTATCTTCACGACTAAAGAGTTTCGTATTTTCGTATCTCTTTCGGCAGTACGGCGCCTATGCCAGCCATCTTGTTTTTTCCGCAACGTGTACGATAGATGGATTTCCGATCAGTTCCGCATTACGGCCTCTGTACAAAAAGCACCTATTAGCAACAGCATCAATAGTAGACTTGGCCACGGCCAATCAGTCCGCATTCTTCCCATCGCTTTGAGCGAGCATCCCTCGTACCATGTCGCACACCGCTCCTGCGTGTCAATGTACGTATCCTGGTGTCCATTCATCTAGCGAGTACTAGCATTTCACGACATTCGAGTTCCTGCAGGCTGACCAGGAAGGCATCATAGGAAGTGGTTGGGATCCCGAACTGGGCAGCGTAAGGCGACGCCAGCCGCGGCGCGCGACACGAGCAACGGGTCTTGTTTCACCTATGAATACCCTACGAGTTCCGGTACTACTATCGCCCGTTCTCGTACCTCATACACAAGGTCGCGACGCAGGGGTACCATTGCTACTCCGCGCGCAAAACTATTCGGCAATCTGCATGTAAGCGCCCTCCCAAACAACCTCCACACCTAACAATCAATCGCCATCCACAGTCTCAAACGTTCTACTCCATCTTCACCGGAAGTGTTTCGGCAGAAAACAGCTACGAGTATTGGTTGAGAGACTTGTGAGGAAATGACTCGAGTTGCAGCGTTGCGTTTGCGGCTACGCACTTGTCTCTGCAGACTACTGCTGCAGCACGAAAGGGGAGTCGACATGACGCCAACGCATGCACGCATCGACCAAGTCCCAACACCGAAACTGCAGAACAGCAGCAGCAGACGCAGACAAGCCATTGCCTGTCCAACCAACTTAGCCTGTGGTAAACATTGCGGCTAAAAACGCCCGTCAAATTTCTGGAATGTCACTCTTGCGTATTTGCAATGATTGTTCGTTGACACAACAACCACTACACTCCCTGTCCACAAGCGCGGACCAGGGGATGCGATGGAGGATGACGGAACCTTAACTCCAGTATCTCGGCCGCAACGTATCAGATCTTACGCACCGAGCCTTTACCCCACATCGCGCCTAGCAAAGCATACCAGTGCCGTTTCTCATCTTTCCCACTACTACCAGCCTCGGTCTAAGGAATTAATCATCCCCTTAGTCCAACGGGCTACACAACGCGAATGCGACACGTCAAAAAAACACAGTTTACCGATTCCCTGGCCTCTGGGAGAGTCTCTGTCTAAAAATTCGACGGCGCCCTTTGCTCTGCCGTGTCGATAAACACTAACGGCATAGAACGAGGCTGACTGTCTAACTAACCCTACCGTGCTAGATCCCAACGCTGTAAATATAAACAAACGTTTTGTGACAACCGTCCCAGCAACCAGGTGTTCTCATTCAGTTTCGCGCTGGCCCTGCCGCACTCAATGACGCCAGTGTTTTGAATTACATCTGACAGCGATATTGCCAATACACGTTATTCTCTGGGTCGAGCTTTTTTCCGGAGCGAGAGCGAGAGTGCGAGCGGGTGGCTTGTATATGTATGCAAGGTCGTGCCTTGGAAGCTCTGGAAAGGGAAGGTACTGTATGAGGGAGGAAGGAACAGGCGAAGGAAGGAAGGAAGGGACGGGGGAAGGCAAGGTAGGGTTAGGGTGGTTTACGCTTGGGCCAGGCGTTCTTGACGTCTTCGTTGTCGTTTGGGGAGATGCGGGGGGTGTGAGTGGTTGGTTGGTAGATGGGGAGATGGTTGTTAGAAGCGCGCGGGATCGGGAAGGCGCGTTCATCGCAACATGTACAGTTTAGCATCTTTGTAGAAACACAATATCGTCGAAACAAATACTAAGCACGCTATTATCCTTTACAATCCACTTCCCATCCTCAGCACCCCATTTACCTTCCATCTTCCATCGAAGCGCCCGCATCCGTCGTCAATCCCTCGCTTACATCTGAAACACATTCCCCCATCCCTAATCCATACATACCTAGGCGATCCATATCCATAGACGCGCCCGTATATTACCCAGATCGTCATATAGCCAGGACCATCCTATACCACACACCTCTCTCGATTTCCATTCAGATCGCCGTCTTCGCGCTCTCTTCCGCTTAGCCCTGCACACTTCGGTTCATTCCTCACTTTCGGTTGCAGCATCCGAAATGCAGACGCGCCTTGCAGATTTCGTTATATGAAGGGCACTTTGTACCTGCGTCTCGCGTGCGTGAGCAATGATGTCGGTCCTGCGCGTTCCTGCATTGGAACAATTTATACTTCTGCTCGATTGAGCGACTCGGGTTGGATGGGGAAGGGGAGTGGGTGTGCTGCGTATATCGACGACAATGGATATGGATGGAGTTGGGCGAAGGTGTAGTATTGGCGATCTGGACTAGACGGTGGGCATTCTTGTAGAGGGTAATATCGACAAGGTGGTGATGTGGTATATGCCCCAGACGGGAGATATTAGGCGAGCAAGGGATGGGGGGAATTGGGGTTAATATAGTTGCGGTTGTATAGATGCATGTGTTAGGGGTTTGCAGCATTTTTCGCGTGTGCTTCCGCAGACGGTGGGAATGGGAAGATGGTAATGTAGATGCACTTTGTGAGGCACACTTTCTGGATGACGTGCATAGGATCGATATTCTATGTGCGTAGACGAGATGAGTATGATAGGTATGCACAGGCGGCGCACAACTCCGATGCGTATCAGAAGAGACAGAACTTTTGAATGATGGAATTGCTAGATATCTCGGCTTCGAAAATCAGCACACACGCTTTGCTCGCAATATGCATCTCATGCCGTCAAGGCAAAGACCTCACACAACATCAAACGCCGAAGTAAAAGCCCACCCAAAAATGCTGTGGTATCAAGAAAGGATAAGGGAAAACGGATGATAGTCCGCCAAGGCAGAAAACGTATATCAATGCTAAGCTCATTGCTCACCACCCCACCCAGAACGCCATATATGCTCGAGATAAGAGTCAAGGAGATGGATGCCTTGCTACGGCGCCACGGATTCTTCGACGGTGAGGAGCTAAATCGCCATATCGCAATCACTTTTGCAGTCGGAGCAGGTCCAGTCGCGTGGTTTGTGGGTTGGTATTATTGAGTGGGTGTCCTGTTGGGCGCATGCCCAGTGGAAGATTTGTCGTATGCAGTCCTGTTGAGATGTTAGTTGACAACGGAAATATAGGGTTTGCGATACTTACGGTGTCATTGCAGGTGATGATACCCGATCCTGGTGTCGCCGATGCATCTTGGCTACAGTAACATAAGCCGTAGGGTGGGTCATCATCTTCATTTTGGGGTGTTTCCAGTGGCTGTTCAACTTCCTGTGGCGGTGCTTCGCTCATGTCCACATCGCCATCAGGATCTGGGGTGGTAGGAGTCATGTAGCCATTGAGTGCTCGTGAGTACGACCTGTCAATATCGCCTAAAACGTCGGCAAGAACGTCGTCAAAGGAGTCGTCAAGAGCTGGGGCTTTTGCCTTTCCCTTCCCTTTCCTGTCTCTTTTCGGCGCAGACCTCGCGTGCGCCCTTCGTCCAGTAGAGCCAACGGAGGTCTCCTGGTTTTGAACATCGAGCTGTTCCAATCGCTGAGACAACTCGTTGGCTCCTTGGTAGTCTGTCTCCTGGCCGCTGACTATCTCCAAGGCTTTGCTGTGTACGTCCTTGGAGATAATATCTTCCTCTAACAATTCATCGAGCTTTTGTGTGAATTCGCCCATGACACCGTCCCGCCATATCCGTACACCGCATTCTCGTGCGAACCGAACGATGGCGTCTCCAACATGGATGTCTGATTGCAAGCTCTCTTCGTGCATAAAGTCATCGAAGAGTTTTATGAACCGTCTGGCAGATTCTGATAGGTTTGCTTTGTCGATTTCTGCGTGCTTCCAGCGATACAGCCATTCTTCATCCAGCTCGTCATCGCTCTCACTGATCTCTTCGCCAGGCTGAAGAGGTCTTCTGCTGAGTGATCGGAAGAAAGTGATACCTTTCGGAGGTGTCGGTACAATGAACTTTTTCTTCTCCCTTTCTGGCCTAGACTGCACTTGATCTGGAGGTTTGCGTATCCTGGATGCAGGCGCGACTTGCTGACCACTTGGGGCAAGTTTCGATCGCGCGTTT